GATTGAATCACTTGCTGCTGAAATGCTACAACAAAATTAAAAATCATAGCATAAAACTGATTTGATTTTACTTTGATATACAATTCACACATTCAGCTCTTTAAGTGATGATGCAACTATAAGAATCATAACAATAATTGTGTTCCATTTAATATGGCCAACATTTTACACAATTAACTTTTAGTGCTCTATTTGCTGTAATTACCTTGTAGCAATTGTGACAAAATTTCTAAGTAATGCTGTTTAAGTAATCTATGTAGTAATATTGGTACTAAAAACTCAAGTGTCCTTTGAGAAAGTTTTACTTTGATAAAGTCACTAAGCAAAGACACTGTACTGAAAATCAAATAACATGAAAAACACAAACATGAATATTTAGAGACACGGGTGTATATGTGTATATACATATATATCACTGTAATGAAATACAAAATATGTTTTTTTTAAACAATTTAATGTGTAAGCATCAGAGCCTTTATCAAATCACTTGAAAATAATTAGATAAATAACGAACATTTGAAAAAGTACAAATAAAGCATATTTAGTTACTTAGCAAGTTAAATTCTGACAGTATATTCCAAATCCTTTTAAATCACTTATATTTTCAAAAAGCTATCTCCTAAATAAGTTTAGAAAAAGAGAAGAAAATCATAATAAAAATATAAACATTTCAAATAAAAAACAAACAAATAACTGATGTCTTCAAAGAGAGACAATATTTGAGTTTACTTTGGATGAAGTTGTTTTTACTCTGTACTAAATAATCATTAAAAGTTCTATAGAAATTTCTAATCAATTACTGTAACTTAAAAAAAATGAAGTCATACTGCAGATCATACCAATGGTGTTATATATTGTACCTATGAACACTAATGGGTATGTCCCAATCCTCATAAATATGATGGACATTATTGTAAGTGGGGGTAATATGCTGTCTAAGTAGTGCACCACTAGCAGTGGTTTACTTACTTCATGCTGCTGGCGAGTATTGTATTTTGTTAATGTTATAAAGATTACTATTTCATTTCCAACCTCCATTTTGGTTATTACTCATTGAGTAGCCCTTTCTAGGTTATAACAAATGGTAAAGCATTAAATTTGTTTACTAAGACTTCTGAAATAGAATATCTCATCTAGAAGCAAAAAATATTTTATATACTTTTTCAAGTAAAGCCACATATAAAATTTGATTTTTTATTCTTAATACTCAGTGAAAATTGAAAACTGTTTTAATAATTCTAGTCTTTTGATTTTATAATAGCAATAATCTTTGTTGTTTACAACAAAGATTAAATGCATACAATTGTCAATATTCAACAGTATGAATATAACAGTACTAAATTGGCCAGTTATTTTTTTAGATATGTACAAACTTGGTTTAAGTTGTGTATCTTTTACCATGTATTGAAACGCCAGTATTCACTCATTTCTATGAACTTGTAATTCTACTTTTTACTCTCTTCCTGATAAATTTTAATCAGACTAAAAAAACTACATCAGTAACAATAATTTTCTCTCAATTACACAAATGTTAATTCAGTACAAAACACTTTAATAATACTATTTAATTCTAGTAAGAATAAGCACCTCTTGAGCGTGAATTGATCTTCAATCAGTTCTTTCTTTAAAACACACTTTAGTTAAATAGAGATGCATTTACTAAAAATGTCATCTCTACAGCTTTTTTAAGAGGCAATCATTATCATCAAATAACACTTACAATGAATTTCCTGCAAATAAATCCTCTATTATCTTAATAGGAAACACCTTTTCTCTCCATAACACACCAAACTATCTTACAAATACTAAAAAGCCTCCACTCTTATATAGATGTGTACAATAAACTTATCACAATTATTCAAACCTCTGTAGAACTGAGAAACATATTTTCATCCAGAAAACGAAAAGTTTTCCCAAAATAAATTTTACTGTAGAACATGAATTTGATTAGTTTTATTACCTCTAAGTGTGTTGCTAGGCAGATCAAGGTGAAATTGTTAGAAATAAATAAAGGATAAACAACAGGATGATAAACGTGAGTTGGGTAAAAGAAGCCAAGTGAACAGAATTCCACTGAGCTCTTGCAAACTGAAGTTAGATAAGCAGAAAATAAGAATCTTTCAGCAAAGATAAGAGCAATAGAAAATTAGCCTTGGAAAATTTCTGCATCAAATTTTAAGATAAAGAATAAGAAATAGAGAAAAGAATAATAATAAAATTTGAAATCAAAAGGCACAAATATAGAACATTTATATTTCAGATAATTATACTGAACAGGAATACAACTTTTCACAAGTAAACTGCCAATGGAATTCAATTTATTTTGGAATTCTAAGACATCAGAGTTTTCAAGCATTCTATTGGAAAGCAAATTTACAATAAGAATAATGTATGAAGAATTTATTCACTTTGATAGAAAAAGAGGCTTTAGAATCATATTTTATGAAACTGAACTACAATGAAAAGAAAAACAGCAAAAATATTGTTTTCTTTTTATTATCTGCAGATAGAAAGATAACAGATGATAGAAATTATAGTAGTATTATTGATATTACTAATAATAGAAAGTATATAAGATTAAAATCTACCAGAATTGATGAAGTCTTTTCACCTAAGGGGAAAGAAAAAAGATTTCACAGATAACAGATATTAGAAAATTATAGATGACCTACATTCCACTTGTTTTCAATTAACCAAAAAAATTTCTAAAAGCAAAAATTTTGTTTGAAAAACTAACAATGGAGGTGAATCCTGTCATAATGTATATATTAACTTATGTGAAAATTTGAAAAACAATGACGGAAAATACAATCCATATAAAATTTTTTAAAAATTGATGAAGTTAAACTAAGGCCCTGTATATAATGGACTTAATGAATACATGAATATTTTTTTTAATGTTGGGCTTTTATCATCACCTGTAAGCAAAAGCAGGACAGTAACAATATTGATATTAAAAAAATTCAGAGGGCAAGAACTGGAAAATAATTTCTTATCCACAATAATTGATTCTCATAAATTAAAAATAAAAATTAAGAAAATAATGTAATCAGAATAAGATGCAGAAGCATTCAAAGATCTTTTTCATTAATATTCTTCAAATTATAAAATACAACTTGAAAGTGAGTCAACTCCATTTATAAACAGAACAATATTTATTATTAGCTTTAATAATTTAGCACATAGATCTACATACATCTGTGTGACAAATGGAGAAAAATCCATCTATGTGGATGAGAAAACAACATTCAGTTATAAGTACTAACTTTATTTACTAAGCAAAATAAGAGAAAGCCAGCAATAAACAAAAGAGAAAATTGGCTATTTACTTTAATGAGTAAGCAGAAGGTATAGTGGTCTATAGTACAAGCGTCTAGACAAGCAAATAAGACAAACATCTATTCTATAATCTGTCAAAGAGTGACAGGAAATTAAAACTAAAAATAATATCTAATGAGCAGTGTAAATATAAGAAAATCCAACATCTATTTGTGTTTTGGCAGATATAAAAACTCTATATAATCTACATTTGGAATTTATTTGCATACAAAACACATCAATGCTTGTGAACTAACTAAGGAATGGAATTGGGAAGAAGTAATGTTGGTGAAGAAGAATATTCAGTGATAAAGTCATGGTGCACTAATAAGTCTTTCTTAGAAGATAAGAATAGTAACTACTAAACATTTCTCAAATGAATAGGAAGAACAATAAGTATTTATTTACATCACAAGCTGTCACTTTCAATTAAAAAAAGTATAAACCCCTTACAAAGATGGCCCTACATTTTATGATCAATTATTTTCTTAGCATGTTATTACATTTTGAATAAATTTTTTAATATGCAAAATTCCAGATCAGTGATTGAAATAATTATTATTAGAAATAATATGATTTTACATTAATAGTAATAATGGTAAATATTTTCAGAGAGTTTTTTTTAATTCAGCTAATTTGTGTCTAATACTGGTATGTTTGATATAGTTCCTAATACTTTTCATGTGTTATCATATGCAGTTTCTTGTAGGTGTTTAATAAAGACAAATCTGCAGTATAAAATCTACATAATTATAGCATTTTAGCAATAGTTTAAAGTTCTTGATTTAATTCGAAATCTTACAAAGTGACTTATAGCCATAGTATGTTTGCATGACAAGAAAGTACAGATTTGGTGACTACTTGAGAATAAAAGAAGCTCTTATTAGATAATCAGAAAATAGTAAAGAAACTACTAATTTGAATGAATTTAGATATTTGAATTTTAGAACTGAATAATGTGTACTGTATCATTTTTTGAAGTTAATTTAATCGACACAATTAGATAATTTTTTAAATATTGGTTTAATTATTCAGTTATGTAAAAGTACAACTGAAGATTTTCAGAATTATTTCAGGAAATTTTCATATCTTGGATTAGATACAAAATATAAATAAAAGTTAATTTTTAGAATTTACACTAGACTAATTAGTGAACCTGTATTCAACAAGTAATAAGTTACAGACAATAATTCAGATTTTTGTAGCATTTAAATTAGTTTAAAATTCAAGTCTAACTACACAATAATCTGTTGGTAACTGTAATCTTTATTACTATAAATGTACTAATAAAATCTTGAAAATACAGCTGTAGTCATGTAATCAATACTTGTTCTTAGTAGTAGCAGTGGTGGTGATGGTGGTGGTGGTGGAAGTGGTGTGGGTGATCTATAGAATTATAAAGGCAGCAACTTATTGCCATTAGAGAACATGCGAATGATGCATTAGCAGAAAGAAGATGCTTTAAACTCTGCTAGGCAGACATGCTACAGCTCTTCTGTTGTCATTGTTTTTTGCATGCATCAGACGAGTTGCTTGGTTCATCAGCAGCAACAGCTGCTAACAAAAGTCTAGAACGGTAGTTGTTGTGGCGCCAGTAGTGCACCAACAATCATACCCCAAGGCGAGCAGATAGTCTATAAAGGCTGCATTAGCACAACTAGAGTTCATGTACATAGATATACCTCCATCATTTTGGCTGCAGACGCCATCGCAATACTTGTTGCTGTTATTGCTTTGAAACGGTGGACATTCTGATAGATACAAAAATCAAAAGTGCAAAGTAATAAGAAAAATGGTTAAATTTTTATTTTAAAGATAGGCTACTGTAGAAATTTTGGCATTATGGACTTAATTATAAAGAAAATATTAAGCAATTCAGAGTTTATAAGAAGTTGTTTTAGGTTAGGGCTCAAGCATTTCACAAAGTACATATCAACAAAGACATCATCAACAAATACTTGACACAAATAATATTAGATTATCAGGTAACAAATGGAACTTATGGAAATGAAGCAGAAAGTACAGATTTATTAGAAGAGATTGTAGGATATGGCTAGAAAATCCCAACAATCTATGCACCAATTTTTAATGCAATTATCAAGTAAATCTTTTTAAAAATAAATATTTAAACAATTTCCAATGTTATTCAATTATCATTTACAATAAAACTGTTTAAAAACAATTTATTTTATAGAATTCAAAACATTCATCTTAAAATAAGGATATAAAAAAAAATTATGAAACTGTTACTTAAAGTGAATAACCAGATTTATTGTTTTTGAGTGCAATAGTGAATGGACCTAAACAAGTAACAAACTACCAAAACTGGTATAAAGTAAACACTAATAACTGATTAGGTCTGTGCTAGTGAACTGATTATGAGGAAATTAGTTTTTGATGTCAAATATAAATCCATAAATAATCATTCCAATAAATTTCTTTATATTATATAAATTCAAAATACAATTTTGAATCTTCTTAATTCAGTAATTGCATCATTTTTTAGCTCACTCAACATGAAAAATATTATATGATAAATTTATGAAGGAATCATATTTACATATTTTTTCACTAATGCTTTTAATGATAAGTTATGACTGTTCAAGCAGCAGTAGTTATAAGAATTATGGTCCAAATGAAATGAAAGCTTTTTAAAGAAATTTAATATAAAAGATTCATATAACAAATCATTGTATTTGTTTCTTTAAGATATTTGAAAAGACAGCAAACATATACTAGTAGACACTGCATTTGTATCTTAAAACTGAACATTCATTTTGATAAAATGTACATGTCAAATGTAACTTTAAAAATTTGAAGAATATCCATATGAACAAGTATTTTTTACTATTAGTATGTAAAATTGTCAGATATTTATTAATTACAAATAAGTAATTTAATATGTGTGCGTGTGTATGTATATATAATGCATAACTCATTTGTATTGAGTTAAAAGCAAGTGTTCTTCTAACATATTTGTACAAAATAAAAGTGTACCAAGTTCTGAAATTTACAAGTTATAAAATTTCAGAATTATCATGAAATATAAATTAATAAAAAAAAATTAATAACTCCCATCTTTATTATTTTTTTTACAACTTTTCATGTGTAAAAACTTACAATAATTGAAGTTAAAATATAAGACTAATAAAAAAAACATACTAGATCCCATCATTAAGAATACAATTAAGTAAAACACTTTTTATTGTACAGTGAATGAATGACTAAGTCAGCATTGTCAGTAGGCAAGAAGTCATGGTTCTATTTGTTACAGTTTTAATACAATTTTTGACTGCATTGATTTAAATGCAATGTCTTGATTAAGAAATGGGCTTGCAACTAAACCAAACTAATAATTAGTAATATGCTGTTTGGTTTGTTTTGTTTTATGGCATATCAACTTCAATGGGTTATTTAATGCCAACAAAATTTTTATTGCTGGTAAAAAAATTTCCTTCAAAAAATCTATTTCTGGTAAAATTTTTTCTTCAAAAATGTATCGTTTGTAATTTTTTTTCTTTTTTTTTTTCAAAAAATTTTAGTTGATAATATCTTTTTTCAAAAAAAATTTTTTCTTCAAAAACTTATTGCTGGTAATAACTTTTTTACAAAGTATTTCAGGTATTAAAACCTATTCATAGTGTTTTGATCCCAATTTAGGGGTTAACTATTTGCCATAGCTGGGACCCTAACAGGTGCTACCACCCCGGGTCAGGGTTCATGCTCCTCAAAACCTCCTGATCAGAGGCCTTGCTGTTGGACGTAGTTTATTGTCTTACCCAGGACGTGGATGTAGTTTATCATCATGCCCAGGATGGCAGTAATATGCAGCTTAGTGTGAATTAATATAAAAGATTAAATGTAAATACTTCTCAAATTAATGTGAAAAACAAATATATCTATACATGTGTCTTCAGATGCAGCATATATAAAAAACATGTCTTCTTCAGACATAGAAAAACACATTACAAGAAAGAAACTTATACTCCTAAAACAATCAAATAAATCTGAGAGCCATTCTTAAAGCTAAGTACCACATGGATAATCAGCCAAAATGAAAGTGTTATAAAGATATCAAATCTTATCAATAATAGTGATTTGTGACATTAATAGTTACAGGAAACAAATTGAAATAACAAGTAATATTTGCTAAGTGTTGAGCAAATATCCTAATAAAAAATGGCTCAGATAAGCAACAGACTTTTTATAAAATATTTACAGTTAGCATTTTATTTCCTAGTAAAACATTTACAGAAGCAAAATAGTGTTAAACAAGAGATGTACAGATTGTTTAAAAGTAGCGAGAGAAATATTACATGATAATTGAAAAAAAGTAAAATTCATGAAATTATTTTAATATTTCATAAATCTGTTTTTAAGCCATAGACATATATATATATATATATTACAGTGTTTTTCTCCAGGAGTAATATGAACCAATATTGTAAATTAATCTAAATTTGTCTCAAATCGTAGAAGAGATTTTGATATTAGCTAATAATCCACTTAATATCTATGTGAATATCATATAAAATAATATATAACTGATATTTTTCAAGTTGCTAATTTTTTTGTTTTTGCTATCAACAAGAATTATTTCTTTCTCATTAATTGCATCTATCAATGATGGAAACAACAGCCCATCTTAAAGGAGTTTTTTTTTTTTTTTAATATGATTGCAGAAATATAACAGCATTGAAAATACCTAAACCAATGCATACTCACTTTGGATGGTGTATTGAAAAGTGACGCGGTTCGACGTGGTAGCGTTGAAGAATCCCCTGAAAACATCAAAAGCAAATAAATTCTTAGCATTTAAAAACACAGAAATGTAGGTTTTTTTTCTAAACAGAATTTAATGTTTATATGAAAAGTGATTTAGAAAGTATATTCAAGCAAAAGTCAGATTGAAGTTTCTAATAACTTTATCATTAAATATTTTTAGGTTGCTTACATTGTAAATACGAAGTTGAATGATTCTAATTAAGCTTAACATCTGTTTGCCCATCAATCACTTAGAACATTTCCAGCTTCTTGCTATTGATCACAGACCAGACATGTCCTATAAGTCAAGTATATATTTTTCACATAATGTGATGATAATTTTTTAATTAGCAATCAAGCATTAGTTGAGAAAAATGACTTTTGTGTTTCATATTCTTTATTTTTTAATATTTAGAATATCTAAAGGAAGTTTTTTTATTTAACTTTAGTTAAATAATGTTATTTAGCAAGATGCAGAAAACAAAAAATGGAGTAGAATAGTTCAATGATGCAAGTACATATTTACATATTCTAAGAAATTTCAAAATGTGCAAAAAAAAAAAGAAAAAAAAAAGGAAAATCATTTTGTAAGTTTTTGTCATTTTATATGCAAAGATTTATTTTGCTTTCATTCATTAGAAAACAGGAAAACTTTTTAGATAATGTGATTTTTACTTTTAACATAAATTAAAATGTTAACTATTATATTTCACAGTATATTTAGTGTTTAGATTTATTTATTATGAAATGGAAATAATCATGGTAAGAATAACTGTCACCTCAAAATATATTAATAATAACAACTGGAATATTAGTAACTGTAGAGTAGCAAAATCAACTGTTAAATGCATCTATTTATTTTTGTGAAGAACAGATTGAAGAGTCAAATAATAGCAAACTCATCATTACAAAGTTTAAGATAGAAAAATGTATCATAGAATGATTCAATCTTCATAAAATAGATATTTTGTATTTTATGCTAATAATCTTTTCCTTATTTACATTATTCGGACTATTATCCTCATCTTTGTTGCCATATTTATTACAAAGCTTTGGCCGTTGTATGCTCCAGCCTTCTTCAGGTGGTTGAAATGTTGAACTGTTAATTCCCCTCTCCAAGTTCTCCACCACTTTAACCAGGTATTGAACTCACACTCCTTGGGTCCGTTCACTGGATCTAACTAACGCCATTATCCACTGTGCCATGTGTCCTTGAGGACATTTCAACCACCTGAAGAAGGCTGGAGCATACAACAGCTGAAACATTGTAATAAATATGGCGACAAAGATGAGGACAATAATCCGAATAATGTAAATAGTGTACATAATACCTCATCTCAGAAATATAGATAGAATCTTTTCTTTATGTATTCATTACAAACTTTTAGAAACAAATGAACAGTTTGAATGCTAAATTAAAATTACAACAGAGCAAAACCATTTAAGTTGTTTAATCTAAGTTGCAAGAAAGAATAATCTCCTTTCAAGATTTCTTAGAAAGACATTTTATGCTAGTTGGCTAGTTAGAAAGTTCTTTAGGATAAATTTTAAGTAAGTTTGCTGCATAAAGGATGAAAACATTTTTGGTACTGAATTCAAATAGTGGAATGTAACAATCCTAGGTTAACAGTAAATATCTCCAGTTGAACACTTTTGTCAGCTCTATGTATATCCAATACCAAATTGTATACAAACTTTTCAAGCATAGCAATAGATATCTAACAAATGTCCTTTGAAAACATTTGTGGAAATCACACAAGGAAATTATCTTCCACTCCTCAATCTTAGTTATAGTGGATAGTCTCCAATGATAAAGATAACAGTTGCACTCCCAGTAAAAGTAAACAGCCAAAATAAAAGTTGCACATTGATTAAAATATTCAAATCTTTATGTATTTGGTGAGAGTACAGTTTTATGAAATGCTCAAAGATAAAACTTGTTTAGAAATTGATTATAAGTTACACATGCCAAAAGTGGTAACAGTATTTGTTTATGTATGACACTATAAATTTAAAAAAAAAAAAAAACCCAAAAATCTTCCTACTTCAAAAAAAAAAAAAAAAAAAAAAAATGGTAATATTTCGCAAATATTAATTATATTATAACCTATAGTTGTTGCTAAGATATGAGAAATGTCATATATAATATTTATCTCTTACAACACAACAAATGTTTGAATAACAATAAAACAAATGATTATGCATAACCAGAAATGATGCTGTGGTAGGCAAACTTTTGCCAAAGATCAATAATTTTCCGAGTGGACTCATGTCTAATATGTACTGAGTATCTAATATCTGGGATCTTGAGATAAGTTGCTGTTAATATTCAATGATATTTTAAAACATCTCTGAATATTGCAAATTATCATCTATTCTTTCAGATTTAATTCTTTTTGATTTTGAAATAGTACCATTATAAAGGGCATAACTTTATTAAAAATTGTCTAGTGGCTACAGATATGCACAACAACTATCTTTGAGATTTGATTGTTATTTTTGGAAAGACTTACACAGATAATATTAAAAACAACTTTAAATCAAAAGTAAACACTTGTCAGTATTATTATAGAGAAACGTTTTATAAAATTAAAATGACCTCATGTTCTGTGGCCAGTAGACAATTTTCATTATCATTTTTTCATCCATTTTCTAAAATTAAAATTTACAAAGAAAGAATGAAATATCTTACAATGCAATATTACTGAACTTTCATTTCAAATAAAAACAGATCATTCAATTACAAGTTTATTTTTCTTTAGAACTACTAATAAATGTATCTCTTAAAATAAATGAAATCAATTAATCAAAGTAAGTTTGAAATCTCTTGGAAGTTATTTGAATATTGAAATGTACTTACCACCATCTTCAAGAGTTAAAATTTTATTTTCTGTAAGTGCTTTTCTGAAAAAAAAAAAAAAAAAAAAAAATTCAATTTTAGGTTAAATTCACTGTCAATTTGATATTTGCCCTAAAATGTTAAATATAGTCAATTTCTGCTTAATACTGATTTTAATGTCCATAAATATTATATTTGGATTTGTAAACATTAATAAGATCAATTTAGTATAACCTGTATTAAGTATTCTGACATATATGGGAAAATTTAAATTATATTTTCAATTCCTTTTTTCAGGTAAAAAATACACCAAAGAAAACCCTAACTCACCAAAAAATAAATAAAAAAATGAAAAAAAAAATTTTGATTTCTGAATTTAAATAAGCATTCTATTAACAATAAAGAATGACATATTTCAGTTGCAGTATGTCTAACAATAACGCTTGTTAAAAAGTGATAAACATGAAACAAATGTTTACTGACTAAAATATTAAAGACATGAACAAACAACATAACTGAAAAATGAAGATACCGTATGCACAATATGATAAAATATTTATGTAAAATATATTTAAGGAAAAAGTTCTTACACATGAAACAACAGAATCAGATTTTTATAATGAACATTTAAAGGTCTTATTTATTAACAGGCTAAATTATCGAAATGACAAGTAAACTTTGTTTTCATCTTAAAATAACTGTTACAAATTAATAAATGCAACTTAAAATAACTACACTCAGAATCAAAACAACATTAATAATTATTGATGCTTACCATTCCTCAATGTTGTGGTACCTATTCTAAAAATCAGTTATTTTCCTTTATTTTTACTTTAAATCTATATTCTGTCAAATCAGAAACAATGATGTCTGATATTTGTTAATACTTCTTTTTTTTAACGTCAACATAAAAGTTGTAAAGTTACAAGATTACAATACATATTATACACAGATATACTATTTATATTTGTATGTACCAAGAGTTTGAGCAGAATATGATTTCTGTTCAGTTTCTATTTTCTGTTAAAATGTCAGAGAAAACTCAACCAACTAAAAATAGGATGAGCTCTTCTGAATTCATACTGCCAATTTGATATCAGTACAGATAAGTAAGGCTGGGAAAAGATACTGAAAATGACTTATATTCACTAAATAATGTATAAAAAAAGCTTGTTGTTGGCTGAATGCACTCCATTTTAGTAAACACTCAAAATAGCTTATGTCCCAAGCACTATTTTCAGTGATTCCTTTCTTATTTGGAAAGCAAAAGAAACTTGGATAATGGTACACTGTTTAATAGCCCATACAGAGACATTAATTATAGTATAGTTTTGCTAAAAACAGAAAATAGCATCACTTAAATTACTGCCGCAGCTAAAAATATGGGATAAATTAAGTTAAATAAAATAAAGACGTTGCAAAATAGCTAGAAATATATGTTAATATCTGTTAAAAAAAGACACCTAAAATAAAAAAAGAATTACTTTAATTTTTTTTAGTTATTATAAATATAAGGAATTCAATAAAGAATTTTGACTATCAGAGTAACATTTTTGTAAGAAAATTTTGTGAAAAGGATATCAATGATCTATATATTAATACTGTCATCATCAGCATCCATCCGTCTCAAGAGACGATAGAGTAGCACAGTGCACCATGAGTCTGAGTGGGATATATGGAGAACTAGGGCTGCCCTCTCGGCCTTGCTAGCAGAGTCCAAAGGAGAGGATAAACCAATACAGTTTGGTACCAGCGCAGCTGCAGGAGTTGCCAGAAGGTAGCACAAAGTGCCATCCATCCGCCTTAGAGGTTCCACTCTGGATTTGAATTCAGAGTTGTCCTTCTCCTAGACCAGTTGCCATCCAAGGCTATAGAACCCAGTCTGTCCTGCTATTTACCTACAGCTGGAGGGAGTAGAAGAGGATTCACACCTTTCCTAAGGGTATTAGCACGTAAGTGAATGTAATGGATTCGACTGGAATTTGAACTCAGCTCTCCAATTCTTCAATCCAAGCCGCTATCCATTACTCCACTGCACCTCCTCTTCTTCCTATTAATATTATAGCATCTACCTATCTTCCTGTAAAATGTATTTCATGTTACAATAGAAAAAACAAACTATAAACAAATATTCACCCCCTTTAAATGATTGAGGGAGTAAAAGAGTACTAAAACTCAAGATAGCGAGCCTGTCTATATCTTTATTTTGTCTCCATCCTTTCTCCTACATTTCAATTTTCACTAGTTTTCTTTCTTACTCTCTTTTCATCTTCCACACCACCTTTCCCCCTTCTTCCTCTCCCTTGCTTTTCCAAATTCTGTTGTCATGCTGAAATGAACAGATATGCAATTGATACCTATGTTGGGTGTATGTGTAACATTTTTCGAAGTGCACAGATATTTCACTGATCCTAGACAGAGATGCTGGGGAGTGACACTGATTTTAGGTACTATACACCAAGACTGCCCTAAAGCAGAAGTGCCGAGCCATATATAAATAAGCCCATTATTTTTTATGTATACTATGTTAATGAAGACAATAATCCAAATGTTAATGCACATTTCAGTTTTTTAAAAATCAATATTATTCTTGATATAGATGATTTTCAAAGTTACTCCACTGTTAGCTAATGTTTTGCTTATAAAATGTAAATAGCAATAATAGTAACAAGAACGTTTGATAGAGGAGAGTCTATTATAATGAGGAAAAAATTCTTCAATAAAATCTGTAATAAATCAACAACATTAATAATAATATTGGAATATTAAAAGGACATAGCAATTATTTTTTTTTTTTTTTTACAGTGATGTTCACCTTTTACAAGGCCTAGAAACCACTCAAAGCAGAGGGTTACAGAGTAAGAGGCACAGTTTATGCAGATAAGTGGGAGAGATAATGGTTAACACAAGACATGAACAGGTTAAGATTGTAGTGATCGAGAAAAACACCCTATTGGGAGGCAGTTTGACAGAGCAGTGGTTCGCAGGAAGAAGCTGCTCAAGTGGAACTTACATCTCATCAACGGAACGCAAAGAAAATGAAGATGGTTCATTACAGTGTGTACAGCAAGGTGGGTCAGCTGTGAAGGTTAGAACTGGTGAAACTAAAGAATGTAGCTCATCTGTGCACTTTCCATGAAAATAGCAATAGAGCAGTAAGAGGCTTGTGACAATTTGTCTGTGAGAAAGGGGTTGTAGGGTGGACATGCACATGAAGATGCTTTTGGACTTTATCAAAACTGGAAAGTGAAAACTGGGCAGCTCCTGTCCATATATGGCAGCAGTAGAGTGAGTAAGAAAAAATATCAATAAAAGTATCATATATTAGAAACAGAATAGCATTAAGTATATGAAGTGATAAATAAACCTCTTCAGTAGTTCAATAAAGTTCAAATGATTTTGGGGCTATTTTTTAATGTTTGTATTTATTTTTAATCTGCTTATGAAAGAAAGATAAACATGTCATACTATTTTAATAATGTGATTAATAATTATTTATAAAATCTTTGAAATTTTTCAGTTTGTTAATCAAATATTAATTATATAAAAGTATACTTTTTAGAATTAATTTATTTTTCTATAGACAAAAACATGATGATTCAAATCAAATAAGAAGTAACTAAAGTGAAAAACAAGCATAATGCATGTTTGATCTAAGAAAGAAATATTTTGCTGGTTTCACATATGTCTTCAAATTATCAAAACTGAAAATCTTAATTAACAAACAGTATGGCCTATATGACAAATCTGGCATGTGAGTAACAATTAAAACTTCCTTAACTAATTAGTAAACAGACTGGTAACAAAATGTAGCATAACTAAACTACAATTTTCTAAATGATAATACAAAAGTAAAAGACCAGTAGCTTAAGTCTGAAGAGCAGCTTGGTGAGATGCATTATCATAGTTCAATTATAAAGGAAACCAATAGAAAATTGAACAAAAAGCCTTCTTTCAGTGGTCCCTATTTTAGAATAAAATACATAGAATTTCAGTAGAATCTTTACAAAATCTTTGGAAACTGTCCCACAGAGATATCTTAATGGTAAAATTTCTGGATTGGAGTATACAATGTGTAAGAATCAAAGATAACTGAAATTCATAATGTTCATTTGAGCAAAAGGAAAAAAAAAATGTACCAAGAGAAAAAGCTTTTGTCATTCTTTTGCCAAGAACTATTTATACATTTTATAAGTACTTGACAAATCACTTGTAGATGTATTAAATTATATATAAATATATTTTGAAACACATATTAAACATTATATTCTTAAAATTAATTCTAAGTTTATATCAGTTAAATTTAATGACTAACACAAAAAAAAAATCATTTTATAAAAAAAAAATATGAAAGCTATATGCGTAAAAATTGTTTGGATGCACACACAAGAAAAGGAAGGTAAAAAAAAGTTAATGCAAGTCCAATAGGTCCAATAGGCGAAACAAATCCATGCTTCCCTCAATGTCTCAATCTCCAATACACCACTCCCTGCCAGAAGCGAAAATAAACTGCTCTTGAATGAGCCTCCCATGCTTTTATGCACCTGACTCAGCCATCGCTCAGCCAGTGAGTGCCCAGAACCAGCCAATAAAAATGGTTACAAGCAAGACCACCACTTCCATCAGCACAAAGTGCTGCCAGATTCACCGTCCATTCAAATGCTTGCAATGTCTTTAAGTGCCATCTTACCAGCTTCTCACCAGCCTCTTTTGTGTTCACCTGTGTCTTCTCAGTCAGGGTGTCAGATATCCATCAATGGCCGCCATTGAAGGGCCAGATTTACACCTTTTTTTCTGCATCAAGGTAAGCCAAATTGAGTTGCTTTTCATCTTCAGCTGGATGCAACCAACAAGCATCCTCCACAGTGCTCCTATTCACTTCTAGTGTCACTCCTGTGACTACAGAACTTGCGTCCACCCAAATCTTCATCTCACTACCATCAATGCACTAGTCTCCTCTCACAGGATCTATCATGTGTAACCTTGGCCACTGTTTTCATTAGCATGCAATGGAGGGAGACATCCTTGACTTCATCATCCTATCTGTTGGTCACTGGAGTTGCCTACCGCTTTATAAATGCAGTCGCCACTCTGAGCCAGCTACACAGAGAAATGACCCACAAGTTTCCCACATAGGGAAAAGATGCTCTGATGGGTGACAATCTGTGGAACACCTGAGACTTCACTTCCCCCGTTTACATTGAAGTATGCTATCCTCTCACCAGACCTGTAGGCCCAGGACTTTGGCTCTGTCTTCTAATTGCTCTGGATCTTTACAGACAAGCCCATAAAAAGATAGATGCTGACATACATGTGCTGCAGAAACCAGTAAATCACTGCTACACTATACTAAAAGGATTCATAATTTATTTTCATTAAAACATTGACCTTTTTAACAGAAATGACAAAAAAATTAGACTTAACAGTTTTTTATATATTTTAAGATAATTTCACTATTTTTGTCTACTGTTGCTTTATTAAAAAACATTTTAACTAACAGACTGATTTTTCCAATCAGATTATAAACCAAAAAAGACCAGAGATTTTATACCAGATAAATTCACCTGGAGAAAGCTGGAGAAGGGATTAGACAAATATAGCAAAAAGTACAAATTTAAAAATAAAAATAAAAAATCCCAAAATGAAAGACAAGAACAGGTTAAAAAGTCACTGGAAATTAGACTTTAGTTCTATATTAAAGATAGGCAATTCAGTCTTTACCAAATATTTTCCTACTGATAAATGAATTATATATATATATATATATATATATGGAATAGTAAACATGTTTATCACTGCATACTATATAATGTTACAATCATATGAGTGGGCTGATAATAATAAGCACTTGTCTAAGTTGTAGATGTCATTCTAAGGTTAAAATTATATTACTCTGAGATAGTTAAAGAATAGACATTTTCTTAAATGAGTCACACTAGTCACCTCTGATAAGAGTTATGTTGCTTAGTTACTGTAGATTATCACAAAGAATTGACTATGAGAGAATTATATTCTTTATCCTGATTTGTAAAGAAGGTTCAATCTCTACTGCCATACCACCAACATCCACCTCTGATATTGTGGGCCAGCATAATAATCTAAGGGATTACTTTCAGAGCAACCTTTGTATATCTGCTAAATATTAAAATTAAAAAATATATATATAATTCTTGATTCCTTTTTCTCTTATTATTAGATATAATTTGCCCAATAAAAAAATCATTTTGAACAATATATATAGATATTTTTTAGTTCTTTCAATGAATGAAAAATAACAAAATGGTGCATATGCTTATCACTGTTTAGGAAATGTAAACAATAGATAGTAGTTAATTTCCCACTCCATAATAATTAACAGAATTCTGGGAAAAAAATCAATAAATTATTACAAAGCAACAGATTTTGTGAAAAATCTACATTGGTCAACTCTTCGTCTACAAACCTACAGTGGTTTTAACAGATGTATTGTGTTTATGCCACTGGAATTCTTTATTTGTTATAGTTAACAATAAGCTACTTCTTCTATATGTTATGTCCCTTCAGGATGTAGTCGATTATTACTCTCCACAACTTCCTATCCTTTGTACTCTAATGCTGTCTTTTTACTCTCCTTTCCATTCTGTTTCACCATCCATTTACATAAGCTCATTAGATAGGTTACATTCTGTTTCCCACTGCCCCTCTTGTCTTCAATATGTCTTGTGAGTATAAAATTTTCTAATTCTCTAGTTTCCTCATGTGTCCTAGAAATTTCAATTTTTTTATTCTAAGTATAGGTGTCCGTTTTGTTTCCATTTTCCTTAAAACTTCTCCAATGTTTACTTGCTCTGTCCATGGTATTCTCAGCATTTATAAATTTATAGAGAAAATTACACTTTAAAAACATAGATCATCATTGTAACTCATTATAGAATAACAAGCTTTACATAAAATTGTAGAAAAAGGTATCTAATACATTTTTTGACCAACAAGTATGATAATTTGTTTTTTATATATGGTATTTTTTAATACCATGTCTTGAAGAGATATGGGTGATCATGGCTCTCTACATATTCCTTTCTTTATTATCTGTAAATTACCAAGAAATCTTGGAAAACATAGTGGAGCCCTCTCAATTAGTATTACTGAAGAGGAAATTGGTCTCATTTTTAGTAAAGTGAGTGTAATGATAAGTAGAACTACTAAAATATCTACAATCTCTGCTTTGATCAAATCTATGATAGAAGATGATACTTAGCACTCTGCTAAATTGAGCTGATAACACAGCTGATGATACTTAGCACTCACACTAAATTGAGCTGATAACACAGCATGAACTGCTAAGATTGGGAGAATATTTTAAGATTCAAGAGCATTCAGTTTATAATGCTGCCAATGAATGGCAAATAGCTTTCAAGGTGGATCCCCTTCATTACTTATTAAAAGATATGCATCAATCAATTATATCAGGTTCAAGACTAAATGACAACCATAATATATAAGATGTAAATGAGTACCATTATATACTGATATAAATATGAACTTCAAGTAAATTAAATAAGTAAGCAGATATGGAGTTCACATACTCTCAAAAGTTACTAAGTAATCAATATTACAAATGTACATAGCTAGTGTAATTCTGAAAACAAACTGAATCAATCACTGAAATATATAAAATTCAATCACTGTCCATAATCATATAGAGAACAATGTTTGAATATTTAATGTCTTTAGTTGACATTGCAAAAGTGACAAGATCAATTTAAAAAAAGTAAAATTCTAAAATTAATGAACAATGTACTGATCAGCATGTTATGGGAAGGTTATAAACTTTGATAAAGCAATTGAACTGCAATAGAATTAAAAACAGATTGAGTCTCTACTAGTATATTTTGAATTTTAGAGAAACTGAATCAACTAAAATATGCTACTTAAGATTCTATATTTTAGGACTATTCTTGCAATTTTTACTTTGACAATTACCTGAAAATATATTTAATGTTATTATTAACATTTTCTGCATCTTTAACAGAATCTCCACAGTAGTAATTTTTATTTGATTTTTTAAGACATGCATACACCAAAATGGCAACTGTTATTTGCTTATAGTTTTGGTAAATTTACAAAATTGTATCTGAATAGATAATATAAACTTCAGTAGATATTAAACTATATAAAGTGCATTTAAGGCAAGATATACTTACTTGGCTTCTTCAAGTTCCAAGTGATCTCTTTCTTGCATCCTCTTGAGATTTTCTACATATGCTAACATGACTTCCATAGCTTGGCTCATACGTTGTTCCTATAAGAAAATTTGAAAGTCATATACAAATATAAAAAAGCTCATGATATAATGATACTACAGACACAATAAAAATCAGAGTTAAAAATAGAAATTTATTATATATCAATATATCTCTTTGGAACTATGAGAACTTTAGCAGTGATGCACTTTTTCAATCAGTAATAATCTAATTAAATTGTTAGGTTATTGTTGATGAACAGTTATTAGTAACTATTTCTCAAGATGCATCTTCTGTATTGTTATTCTTGATAAATTTTTGACCTATATATTACACCTAAATTTATGTCATTATCAACTCAAGTCATATACACATCATTGTTATTTTTGGTTAAAGTTGTCATACCACAGACAAGATATTACAATGTTCTGTGTCTGATTAATACGAGGGACTCACCAAAATACAATAAGAGCAAATCACATTACAAAATATCTTTAAAGAACCAGTAAATCATAGACCAAAACAAGACAGAAAACAAGAAAAGTACAATTCTAAAGATATACAAATTCTCCAATTATATCTTAAATTTATGCTGTTGGTATAGAAATTAATCAGTTGAAATTAAAAAAAAAATGACAAGGAAATATTATGCATGTTATATTTCTAATCTTTTGAGTGTAATAGATATTTGACTTGAAATGGTAGGAGATTAAGAAAGAAATAATCTTTTGGTAAATCACTTAAAATATATTCTTAGAGATAATTATACTTTACAAAATTAGAGAACTACTCGCTTTCAAATTGACATGTAGTTAAAAAAAAATCAATTTTTAAACTATTCATGCTACATCTAGTTCTAATAAATTGCATAAAACAAAATGTTGAAAATAATTTACAAAAAGGGGTAAGTATATTGGGGAAATAAATTTTATGGTTCAATATTTAAATTAATAGACTGATAAAAACTGAAGACTGTGTTATCAGATCAAGATTAATACCTGAAAGCACACTTTTGAAAGAAGAACAATGTATTACTTAAGTCTATAATAAAATGTAAAGTAAAAACAAGACAACTACAAAACTTTGTCATTAAAATTTTTAATATATATATTAAAAGATAAATTAAATCACTAAGATGAAAATATCTGTGCTTTAATCTCTAGTTCATCCACTGTAAATTTTTGTTCAGGTTCTTATGTTTCATCATTCTTGGCAGATTTTATGTTATTGCAATGTGGGATATTTAATAACAAATGTGAAGAAAACACAAGGAAAAAGATTCGAAATGAATTTGGCTAGATTGCAAAAAAGTATTTCTAAATTTTGAACTTCCAGTATCTCTTGTTCGTGCACATGTGTAATCACAACAACATAAAAAAAACAGTCCGATAAAGTCTTAACTGATGAAATACATCAAAAACTTTTCTCAATTTGTCATACAATTTGTTCTTGATATATATATATATATATATATATATATATATATATATATATATATATATATATATATGTATATAATATTAGTAGTCAATATACCTGGAGTTATATTTTCTGATTTCTTTTTGAATTTGTAGGTCTGATGAATTGCATTGTGATTACAATTCCAATGTAATAAATTATAACCATGGAGTGTTTAGCCTTATGTTTATATATATATATATATATATATATATATATATATATATATAGAGAGAGAGAGAGAGAGAGAGAGAAAGACAGGTAGACAGAGACAGATACACACACACAACTGAAAAGAACCAATGTTGTAGATATGCAAATCAGTTTTTGGTATGCATTAAGAATTACAATTTCACAAGTACAATAAATTAGGTCAGAATTTTGTTTGCTTAGCTGAAACAGTAAAGATAAAGTAGAAGCTTAAAAGATGAAAATAAAGTGATGTTGAAGTAGTAACAGAATGTATCTGTTCCTTATGAAAGCATCCAGAAGACATTGGACAATTTAAGTTCAAATTCTCCCTGGTAACCAGAAAGTTGCTTTTGAAAAACAGAGAAATTAAATAAAGGAATTGTTTTCAACCAAACTTCAGTTCATTGTACCCATTTATGAACAAATTAATATAAGTTCTTTGCATAATAGAAACTAACATCTAAAAAGGCAAGAAATGTGTTTTGTCTTGCTATTCTTTTTATGTAAATTAATTATGTACAGAAGAAATTAATCTTATGGAATAAAAGTGATATGAAGACATCTTTTGCATCAGAAGTCACTAAAAGTTGACCCCAGGCATGATTAAACAGTTTACAGTTTTATCTATTTCCCTGAATTTTATTGTTCCTAAGATTAATAATGAAATAATTATAAGAAAATTTTAAAGGTATTTATCATGAATAATGGATTTTTATTAAAGTAAATGTAGATATTTAACTTAGGCATTTGATCCAGGCATAAATAGAGCATTAAAAGGCAACAACAAAAAATAGAGAAAATTTATTTAAGTTATAGATTTTTTTTCAAGGCTAAATACAGCAGACAACTTTCATGTTCATTTGCTTTGGAGCCAATAATTCCTGTCAAGCACATAACAAATTATTCTTTATTAAAATCTGTAAAATATGCTTGAACAATAAGTAAATTTGCTTAGCTTTAAGGAAAATATATGCAAAGGGCATTTTTAAATCCAGTCTTTCAGTAGAATTTCCTAGTTGAAATATCCTAAAAACTAAGAACAGTTCAATTTGCTTTAGTATTTGATAACATATAAGAGCAATAGAAAAACAGACCTTCAAACTATCAATAATTCAATTCATTCACTTAAAAATTTAAATGTTTTTCATTTAGAATGTACATTATTAATATATTGTAATAAACAGATAATTCTATAAGAAAATAATACTTTATTTAAAATTAAATAAATTCAGCAAAACAAACATATTTTTCAAATCTTAAAAACATTAGGCTTTAATTAAATTATTGATACATTGTAATGGTAGGCAGTATAAATCATGGAAGAGACAATAGCTCTTTAATCAAATAGGCCATTAACTGGTTAATCAAACAGGAAAATTTGTGCTATACCAAATATTTTTATCCATTTGCTTAATTAAAATAAAGTTGTTAAAAATAATATCTTGATTCATTTAGTAATAAAATTAATGCTTATATATCAAAGAATAGCATATCTATGATTAATAAATCACAACTATGACAAGGTGTTGAAAATTTCTCAGTTTAACAAAGAAGCCCTTCAAAAAAAGAAACTATAATGTTTGGTTATTTGATTAGATTTTTGGGAACTGGGTCATGGTCAATAATCTTCGAATACCCCTAGTGAATAAAAATTACAATAATAGTGAAATTTTACATACACTTTACTGGCTTTGAGTAGTAAAGGCAGAGGATCACAAAAACAAATTTTTGAAAAGTATTAGTATAGTTACTGATTTCATATAGGTATGAGACTGAAATGGTTTTAAAATTGCTAAATTTAAAACAGCAGAACTAGAAAATTGATAAAAATAAACTTTCTTCAAATGGTTATTTATAATTACTCAAAACTATTATCATCAACTTCATATTTTTTTAATAATATAATTCAATCTGAAGTTTGTATAACATTTTATTCAGTAAGTAAAAACTGAAATGATTAAATATGATAAATTCATTAAAACATTAAATATGATAAATTCTACCAAGGAATAAACTCTATCTTAAGATTTTAAATTACAAGGTGTGGTTAAAAAGTAATGTTTGTCCTTCATTACTTAGAACATAATAGCTGAAGCACATAGTTGCTAAAATGAATACAAATATTTCAGAGTTCCAAAATCTAGTAATCAACATAGTCTACTTCCTTCTCAATCATAGAATTCCACTTTTGAATGAGAGAATATGTACCCACTTTGTAGAAGTGTTTTGGCTACTTTCTTATCTAAATGCAAGTTGCTGCTTTCACCTTATCATCACTAACCTCTGAGTGCCTCTTTCATGGTTTTCAAGACTGAGAATGCCAGATCAAGACTGTAAAATGGATAAGGCAAGGCTGTCCAAACATGTGCTGTGATTATTAATCTGATCATTGAGCTGCTCTGAGGTCCTGCATTGTCATGTTGCAAAAGCATATCACTTTTTCAAATGTGGCTGTACTTAAAGAAGTCTTGCTCTGAGTTTTGACAATGTGTTTACATAGGAGTCAGAATTGATAGTGGTGCCATTCAACATAAAATCTAACAGTTCTGTTTCTAAAATTGCTATTAACTCCATTGTTCCATCTCTTTAGTGTACTTTTACCAACTGCAAACTTTCAATAAACATTCACTAACTTCCTGTGAATGTTTGTAAGACTTTCTTTTTCAAAAAGCAGAAATTCTAGGACAGCTCTTTGCTTTCAGAAGGGCAGCCATTTTGGATAAGGATTATAGCTAGAAAAACAGGTTAACTTCACAAATTTTTCTCTTGGACTTTGTGACACAAAAAAACCCTAGGAATTTTGACTGGTTAAATTACAACAGTTATTACTTTTTTGATTGACCCTTATAATTAGTAAGATAATATTTTCAATCAGGATACAAACATTATGAATGCAGTTCTTGCCTAACTTCTTCATACAAAAAAAAAAAAAACAATGTGAAAATATATACAGAAAGTTTAAACATATTTTCTAAATCAAATTATTAAATCATGAACAAAGTGATAGATTGAGCCAAGCATTTTCCAGCATCTTTAGAAATGGGTTCCATTTGAAGTCAAAAGTGAATTTGAGACTAAATAGGCATTCAAAGCATGGAGCTTCATTGAGAGTACAACCATTTATTGCAACTGAAGAAAACTCAGTGTTATATCAATGATGATGAAAGAATACTAGTTTGATGTTTGAGGTATTGAAAGTTACAAGACAATTTTTTCCACTGCATTGTTAGAGCTTGGGCATAGGAGAGATCAACTACAAAGTTTCAAGCATCTTGAATTTTGGAAGTGCATCCATAAATTGCAGTATCATCTGCATGGACGTTTACAAATGATGTGAGAATGTTTAGGCAAATTGTTAATAAAAATCAGAACAAGTGTATGACTGAGGAAAAAAATTGACTAACTGAGAAAGAAATTCTCAAAAAATAGATGTCTCAAAACAATTTATCTCAAGAATGTAAATATTATGTCCAAATCAACTGATAAGACTATATAGTAAATTTCAAGACAATTTTGATTGAGAAAGAATATACTTCAAACCTTATCTGATACATTTTTCAGTAATAAAAAGTTCATTATTCAATTTTGAGTTTTCAACTAAACTGCTACAACAAAAAATTTTTATCAATGAATAACAATGAAAAAGTTGTTTGAATATAATGAAAATTAAATATTTTTTCTTTTTATTCTAATTAAACATTAAAATAATCCTACTTGGATATCACTTGTTCAGTGTTCACAAAACAAATAAAAAGATAATACAGGCTTTAATCTTTACTGCTTTTCACAAGATTTTTATTGTATAGGAAGCTGGAAAATGGATAGCCATGAAAAAAACACATGAGTGAAGTCCATAAAAATATTGAATAAAAACAAATCTCTAAATTTATGACAGATTGTATTTAAACATCATTATTTAAATATTTTTGGTAGTAAACTACACAAAGAGATTTTCCAGATTTTTATTTAAAACATCTTACAGACATTAAAAATTCAGGATAATATTATCATGGTAAACAGACATTTGCCACTGATTTTTTTCATGAGAACTGTTCAGACTGTCGTAGTATTGTTAGAAAACAAAATTAAGAGCACACAGAAATGACACTTTAAAATATTGATATCAAACTTCTATCACGAAGTAATAGATTAGCACTTGCTTTATGGTTCAATACAAAATGTCATCCACTGAAGTATAAAAAAATTTTTAAACTATTTTTTTTTATTTCCCTGTCCAAGTTTAATTATGTTCATTAGCATTTGCTTACAATTGTCAAGTGAAAAGTTAATCAATACAATGCACCAGAGCAAACAGATTCAGCTCACAAATATACATTTTTTTTAACCTTGTCTGATATACTGCTCAGTCTATTATGCAAATGTTTTGCAGTATACAGTTCACCATGACAATCTACATAAATTTTATTTTTAGTGGTATTCAGTTTCTTCATAATGAAATTGGTAGTAGATGAAATTCAATATTTATATTCATTCTATCACAGATGAAGGCTTACTATGAACATATTGTACCTGATGACATTTTATAAATCTAAATATTAGAAAAGTTTAAAAAAATAAAATGTCAGAGTTTTGATGACAAGTCATGATGGTACATTAAATGAAATCCTACTTCCGAGATGACACATTAAAGAAATCCTACTTCCGAGCGTTCCATTTTTTAAACTAGATCACAAAAAATATTTGGATCCAATGGAATCTGACAACAGTACCAGAGGAACTTGATACTGGAAGCACCATCAAGGAAGATGCAATAATAGGGAATACAATGAGACTAGAATTCTGAATTGCATTATATAAAACAATTCCCTAGACTTGATGATGACTACTAGAGAGAGATAAGTTGTGGCTAATTTACTCTATCTAGACAGCAAACTTGAAGAAGACAAAGACTGCTCAATAGGTTCACTTAAAGTAAATTAAGCTAGGTAACTTATTTTAAATTTTATGCAAATTTCAGCACATCCTTGTGTAAAGGTGGGAAACATTTAAACTTGTATTCTGAGCTAATCACAAAATTTAAAAAAAAAAAACTCTTCTCTAAATAAAATGAGAGTGAAAAATGTTCATTGTAAGAGATTTAATAGATAAATTCTGAAATTTTACATTATTTTTAAAGAAGTTGACATACTTAGAAAAGTTAAATATTTACAAGCCTAAATCAAATCTTATTGATATACATAGTGAACATTCCTGAAAATGTTGTAGATAAGGATATATATATGTATGTATATCAATTGGTCCTATGACTTATGAAAGTAGATTATAATAAAAATGATGAAAAAAACAAATAGTTAATAAAAATGCATTGAAATGCTATTTCACAAGGGGTTTTATTACATAATTCAAAATCCAGAGTTACAATTTGGTAAATTTTATTGGTTAGTTTACTTTGATATTGCACTTAGACAGACTGATTTCTGTTTCAGCCTATGAAGGTATATCTTGACCATGGGAAGTTTCTCTCTATATATATATGTATGTGTGTGTGTATACATGTGTGTTGAATGTTTTCAAGAATTATATAAAATGTGTTCAGCTATACACAAGAAATGTATCTCTTCCTAGCATAGTATCCACAAGTAAATGATGGGATTATTTACATGTGGCTCAGTAATTCTGCCAAGGATCAGAATATCTGTATATTCTGCCCAGATCAAAAGTGTTTAAAAGTTTTTCTATCAGTCTGTCTGTCTCTATCTCTCTCACACACACACACAAAGTTGTACTGAAAAGTTCTCAGCCCAAACAAAGACTATACTAATCTCAATGTTTGGTAAGATTTTGAGAAGTGGGTCAGGCAGAGAATTTTTCAACACCCCTGCCCTTTGTGTGTGTGTGTATATTCATACACATTGCATTTTATATATGTAGATATTTGCATAATTTATCTGTGCACTGACAATCCTATCATTTTTATAAGTACTAAGCTAGTAAACAGTTTACATGTACTGTCAAAAAATTAGTCATATGCAGATAAGAAAGAGAATGATCTCCTGATTACTTCATTTATTTAGTTATTATACATGAAAATGACAGATTATTTGAATTTCTATTAAATATTTTTTAAAGAATATAAATAACACATTTACATATATTTATCTGTATTTAATATAGGAGTTATTTAATTTTAAAATCATTTATTTTTCTTTAAGATAAATAAAAAATATTCATGAAAGAAAAGTAAAAAGCAAGGTATTAACAAATCTGGTTTTATTATAGTAACACCAACATGGTTCACAAGTTACCATAACAATGGAATAACTCATTAGTAAGTAGGGATTGTTTTGTGACAGATAAATATGTAAAGTCACAATGTATTTTATATTATAAAACATGTTAGTGCAACAAATCTCTGTAAAACAGAAGTTTCAGAAATGATAAAAGTATATTTCAAAAATTAACTACATGACAGTATAATAATCAGTAAAGATAAAATCCAACAGATTCAATTAGATAAAGTATGAAAAATTTAACATAAAAATAATTTTAAAATATGTTAAGTTTTGTTATAAAACAATCAGAATTGAACAGAAAAGAACAAATAATGTATCCTATTTATATTTTTAGATTTGACAAAACCATGCTTTTATTTCTTAAAACTGACATTCTTCTCATTGTCAGTTTTTTCCTTTCAATTGAAAGTTTCAATATGCAAATTTATAACTGTTTTAAATAAATATGCTATATCATGACAATGTTTGCCTAACAGAGTTAGGAAATACTGCTCTAGAATAAGAACAAAGTTATACAACAAAAAGTTAGGATTTGAACCAGAATCTCCAGTTCGAGATTCAAACCTATTTTTTTTTCATAAGCCTTTTTGAATTTAAAAATTTAGTTTAAACCCACTCTTTCTAACAGAAAGATATCAGATATTTGAATTATTTCTCAGAGACTGCAGAGATAACCAAATGCTTGCTTTTTATGAGAATTGAGTTTCATGTCCCAGAGCAAATCTGAGATAACAGACACAATTTAGTTATGCTAGGACAGAGTGAAAATTCTAGTAGTATCTGTAAGAGTTAGCAGTTTTCAAGATTTTAACAACTTGAAATATAAAGAGATTTAGTCAGTTATGTACATCTTGTGATAACATCCAATGCTATGCTCTAATTCAGATTTTCTATTATTGGTATACAATATATTGGTGATGGAGCTGGCTAATATATATATATATATATATATATATATGTGTGTGTGTGTGTGTGTGAAATTAATCAAAATGACTTAACTGTAAGAATTCAGCCATGAAAGTGTTAAGTAATTGTCAGCTTAATAAAAAAGAAGGGAAATGTCACAAGAGAAAACAAATTCATTGCCACACTTCATATCAGAGAAGTGATTTCTTTTGGAGGCAAATATTTCAATATATTAAATGGTAAATGAAGTAGTTACATTTTTAGACTTTTACAAAGAATTCAAAGAATTGTTGATAAGATACAACAATGATTTATTTTAAATGATTGTAGATTATATTACAAAATATGTATAGAAGAGTGGCATTGAACTGACCAAAAATGTCATGTCTTTAGATAAAGTGTTTGAAGTAGACTAACCAGATTTTTTGTGAAAAGCTGCAAAGAATAATGGAAGAAAAAATCTTTTTATAGCAAAACTAATAGTCTGGAATAGAAGATGATTTATGTAAAGGTCTGACTACATTTTTTTAGTAAGCACAATAACAATTTAAGTTGAATGTTAAAAAATATACCATTTCGAAAAAATGCCGAACTCTATCTTTAATGTTTAACAAAAATGGTAAAAAAAAAGAATTATATACATAATGATATCTGAACTTGACATATTCACAGTCATATAAATATTCATTAAGACAACATTGATGACTTGTGTTAAACTAAATAGAGAATGGATTGTGAAAATATTTAAATTAAAAATAAAGAAAATTTGCATAATGAAACATACTGGACATGTACAATGGCATGTAATCAAATAAACAATATAAACAAATACTGACCTGCTGAACAGCACCAAAGACTTCAGCTCGTCCTGAAATGCGGGCAACTGCTTGTTGTAAGACTTCCACATAATGTTGAATGTTATTTACAGCTTCTCGCACTTGAGGATCATTTGTTTGTTGCACCATTGACTGGAGAAAGAATTACCAATTATTTAAATACAGGATGCAAGAGTAATCTAATGTAAATTTAGATACACTTAAAGAAATTTATATCAATATTATAACAGCTTTTAATATTCCTTCATTGTCAGATTATCTGGTGGTTTAACAATAAAATCATTATAAAAGGAAAATATTTTTTCTATTTAAGTATGTCATGTTTGAGCTATATTTCTATAAATTTCTTAAAAAAAAAATAATAATTATATATATATATATATATATATATATATATATATATTTTGCCCAATAAAAAAAAAAACTGAGATGTATTCCTTTGGATTATAATGTAAATAAAAATGTATATATGTAAATATAAAAGAAATCAGGCAGTACTTAAATAAACTGGTCCACTTGTAAAAAATAGAGAAACATTTTCTGGGGAATAATTTTTGAAATAAGCATTCTTTTGATCTTGTTCAATATTTCTTATTGATTTAGGAGGGCACCCTGCTTATAACAGCAAAACAGTGTCAATTTGATCCCTGACTTTTACAGTTACCTGTACAGAGTTATTTTTATTTACAAATGTTGTATCCTGAAAATGTGCTTATGTCATTGATATCTGCATATATTTTTTACATTTTTGTTAATTTATGTAAATTTTTGTTCTTTAATTAAAAATGTAGCACTACCTTAAGAATGTATGTTTGTTAATGATAAAAAATCTTTTTGTAAAAGGAAAAAACCTGTTTCACCAAAAAATTGTTTATTTAAAATTTTTCATTAAAATAAAACACATAAATGTATAAATAATAAGTATATATGCTTGTTCTTTATTTAAAAAAAATCTTTTTATAAAATAAAGTCTGTTTTTAGATGCAGATATCAATGATGTAAATACATTGACATTTGTAAATAAACTGATATTTTCCAATAACTCTGTAAAAGTTAGGGATTGATTTTACATTATATTGAAATTATAAAAAGACAACCTTCTAAAATGATAAAAGAAACAAATACAATTCTGACAAGTGTTGTTGCCCAAGGAAGATTTAAAGAATGATAATCTATAAAAATTATTGCCATCAAAATTTCATCACTATTTTTCATGAGTCTATTTAAGTAGTACCAAAATATTTTGGGGAGTTTCCTAAACAAATAAGAAGTGTTAGAATTGTGATTGATATTATGCTTAAAATTATATTAAATTTTAAATGAACCCAGATAATTGTTCTAGGTCTGATTGTCGTTGAAAGATTACTTCCTTGAAATGCTAATGAAACTGAAATAGTCTTTTATTACAATGATGTTCACCCTGTACAGCCACTCAAGTTTACAGGGTTACAGAGTAAGAGGCACAGTTGATGGAGATACATAGGAAAGATAACAGTTGATCCTAGACTTGAACAGGTTAAGATTGTAATGACTGGAGTAGCATACCGGGAGTAGATTCTACAAAGCAGTGGTTTGTGAGAAGAAACTGCCTGGGTGGAACTTACCTCTTAATAATGGAATGTGAAGGGAATGAGGGTGGTTCGATACAGTGTGTGTGGCATAGCAGGTCTTAGCCATGAAGGTTAGAACTGATGGAGCTAAGGAATGTAATTCACCTAACACTTTCAGTGGAAATAGCAATATAGCAGCAAGAGACTTGAGATGTAGGAAATAATTTGTCACCGACAAGCACATGGAGATGCTTTTGGACTCTTCTTGAAATTGGAAAATGAAAACTAGGCAGCTCCACAATAGTACTCCATTTTTGTCTGTCTGTTTTTTTTTGTTTGGCTCTTGTAAAGATAGAGGATAGCAGGAGGAGTCAGGTGCTTACTGGAGCAGTGTAGGGAACTGGCCATTTTTCTAGCAGCTTTAGCAATGGATCATATGTACAAGTTCCATTTGAGGTCCAAATAGAAGCTCATGGCATTCATCATGATCTGTGAAGGTTCTGGGTCTGTTTGCTGATGACATAATGTCACTAGTTTGGTTTTCAAGGTAATGAATGTGACCAACCAGTTTTTCCCCAACTGAGCTATTAGGGCTAGATCAATTGCCAACCTCTGGTCATTTAAAGTTTTGGAGGTGCACCCATATGCCGTTGCATCATCAGCATAGATATTCACAAATTTATCAGAGTATACTCATTGGCAGTTCATTTATGTAAAGTAGAGGGTTGGACTGAGAAGTAAACTTTGGGGCATGCCTGAGTTGGGTTTTGGAGAAGTGGCCATCAACAACTACCTTCAGTACTTTATACTTGAGAAGACTATTCCAGTGATTTCATAGCTAGAGAGATTGTGTAGTAATCCTAAATGCCACACCATGTCAAAGGCCTTTCAAATATGCGATCATCCTTGAGATGCATTTGTTGTCTAGTGTTTAGTAATAGCAGTTAGTGTTTGTCACTCAAGAGGTTATCCTTCTTGTTGATTATAGCTTCAAAAAGTTTGCTAATGACACTGAGGAGGCTGTTACTATACTGTGATAGGAATGAGTGCTCACCCACATTCTTGAAGAAAGGGCATATACTTAACCTTTTCCACAGACATGAGAAGGATTTCAAGCAGCAGTTAAATAATTTCACTAAAATCGGGGTAACTCCAGGTTAATATTCTTATGGACAACTACTGGGATTTTATCTAAAACAGCAGCCTTCTTCGGATCAAGAATTTTGATAAGTCTTGAGACTTCCCGGGCTGTAATAAAAATATTACTGAGATTGTGCTCAGTGAGACAGGAAGAAGTCAGGAAGATTTTAAATGTAATGGTGAAACATTTGTTAACAAAGTGTCTTATATCTGGCATTTACTTTTGAAGATGTCCAAGCATTACACTTTACATGTTTATAAATTTCTTGCGAGCAGTAATATCTGTAAAGAAACTGGAACAATTTTGGGATGTTGAGTTTATTGAATTGCAAAGAATTACCAACATGAATGAGTCTTTCTATCACAGCCTTTTCTAATGCTTTTCCCTATTTAGATCCTTGTTGCAATGTTATTCAAAAGAAAAAAATAGCAATGCTCTGAAATTACCAGCAGGTATTCTGGCAATTCCTACAGATGTAATTGTAGTAACACAAATTTAGTCACAAGGGAAAAAAAAGATTTGATTTGTACATGTGAACAATGGTTTTACTGTTACTCCAGCATGTATTCATCTATTTATATTGAAAATATCTTATGAAGCATATCACTTTAAAAACATATATCAAATTTACAGATAATAGGTTTTTATATATTTAATATAAAATATTATTACATTTATTTCTATCTCTTTCAGTTATATATACATGCACACACTTCAAATACATACAGTCAACGACAAAATTTATTCGTACATCCATCAATTTTTTATATTTTTATTTATTTTTCAGAATCTAATGCCCGTATGATGCCAGGTTTTTTATATGTTAATAAAAAAAAAAGGAACATAAAGCTCAATTTTCAGAACCATAGGTTAAATACAACAATTTTGACAGGTGACTTATGCAAAATGGGAAAAGACAAAATTATTCATACAGTATGAAAAATAGAAAAAATTGAACAATTGTCATGATATTAATAGTCATTAGTATGGCCTCTCATCTTTATAACTTGCTGCAATCATTTCTAAAAATTTTGATTAGATTTGAACAAATCTTTTCTGGGATTTTCTTCCATTCTTCAATGGTTACATATTCTAATTCCTGAAGGGTTTTTTGGTGACCAATGATTTATTCAAACTTTCAATTCTTGCCATAGATTTTCAATAGGATTCAAGTCAGGACTCAGTTAGGTCATGGCAGAACTGTAATCATCTTTTTCTGAAGCCATGCAGTCACTGATTTAGACATACATTTGGGATCATTATCTTGCTGGAAAGTAAATCGCTGACCTAGATGGAGATTTTGTGCTGGTAGTTATGGATTTTAGTCCAGATTTTGATACAGGCTGTAGATTTCATTATTACTCTTATTGAATTAATTGTCCAGTTCCCCTTGAGCTAAAACAACCTCAGAATATCATCCAGTCACCTCCATATTTTAATGATGCCACTGTGTTCTTTGGGGGGGAAAAGCTTCACCTTTCTTGTGCCAAATTTTCTGTACATCATTATGTCCAAAAAGCTCAGTTTTTGTTTCATCACTCCATACTACTTGTTCCCAAAAGCAATTTTCTTTTTCCAAGAATGTTTTGGCAAAATTAAACCAAGCAACAATGTGACATGGTTTGTGAAGAGGGGTTTGTCATGGACGGTTTCCATACAACCCATTTCTATTTAAACAACGTTGTAATGTGTGAGTACTTATGTTGATACCTATCGTATTCAAACTTTTGGTAATATCTTTCAAAACAACCTTCTCTGGTATTGAAGTGAAAAAATAAAGATAAACTGGACATATTTTATTATGCAAGTCAATCTGACATAATGGACATTTGCATAATAATGTATTTGTCTTTTTCTAAAAATGTCCAATCTTTCAGCTTTTAGCTGTCAGAAGATTCAGCAATCTGTCATCTGTAGAGATATTAATCTGGTTCTCAAATAAGCAACATCTTTCTTCCTTACCTATCTCCAATAACCTTGTTTTAGTGGTTATTTCTCTGTACTCTTAAGTTTTATTACAAAAATACATATAAAAATAACAGACTATTATTTTGAGATTTAAAAAAAAAAACTTTAGCTAGTTTTCTACCTGTAAATACCAATTTAAAACATTTTTTTTACTTTTCTATCCAGTATATATCTATTTTTACACTTTAATGCTAGTATTTAAGATTTTTTTGAAAATATCTTATAGCATTTAAGAGAAAATTAAAATGAAAGCACTATTAAGAGAAAAGCAATAAACTTATTCATTAAAAAATAAAACAAGAAATAAAAATAAAAAAGATACTGATCATTTTTATCTCCACACGCAAGTAAAAATTATTTATCATTGTACCTTGCTTTTGTTTTGTTTTGATGAGCACAAACTGAAGATCTTTCAAAGAAAATAATATCTAAATTATTTATTATAAATTAATTACATTTTTAAGAGAATTTTT